TCGTCCACATAGTACACGATGATCTTCTCCATCATCAGAGTCTTCCCATCCACAGAAGCGGTAAAGTTTTTCTGGTCATGAAACAGTGGCAGCACCTTCACCTGCAGAAAGTCACATGAAATGATGAAGTTAGCCAGTGGGTCCATTATACAAAACGCACACACACACACAGGTTGTACATACGTCTTTCTCCATGTAGTAGGCCATTTTGGTCAGGTCATATGTGCGATCTCCTTTCTCCTTATTCACATCAACCACAATCATGCGAGCGTCTGGGTCATACTGTAGAATGACAGGATGTTAGTTAGCATGGCAGTGGTGCTTTTTGCTTTGTTCTAAATTACAAGCACTTTTTTGTTGGACTCTCACTCACCTGAACGTCCTTCACCAGGCTGGGGTCAAGTTTGTAACGCTTGTTAAGTTCAGTTGCAATAGCACTGTTTTAAAAAAGACATTAGGATGGTGAGATCTGGAAATGTCAGCCTCGGCATGTTTCTTAACTTTTAATAAGGGCTGAAGTGGACTTACGCCTTCAAATTGTCTTTATTCACGTTGGTGGGCCCCTCCTTGTGTGTCAGCTGAAGACGGATCCAACTGGGGGAAAAATAAAATAAAGAAATGATGTTGAATACTTGAACTATTCATCCTCACAAGAATCCTTCACTATAGTGAAATCACTTACTGGGTCTCCACCAGCTTCTCACACTTGAGGCTCTGGTCTCCCTTGTCAGTCCGACGAACTCCAGCGCTGTTGACACACCAGCACACATCTGTGCCGTTGCACTGCTTGGCCTTGAATTTGCCGTCATTCTCACATTCAGGGTCATAGATGCCATCGTTGTCCACAATGGCAGTCTCATGTTGCTTTCTTCCAATACTGCGAATGTTCAGACCCTTTCCAGCTCTGTACATTTCAGCTTTCATCAAGAAGCACTTGGGGATCACTGAGGGGAGAACAAAGTGCACACCATGAGCAGGCTGGAGTGTCAAACAGAGGACATGAAACAGGAAGGAGCCCCTTTATCACTTCTAAACTTACATGCTTTGCAGTCTATGAGCTGTTTAACACCATTACCAACCAGAAGATAACATGAACATGGGGGTCCGTCGCATGTAGCCCACTTCATAGTGGCACATGGTGAACCTAAAGAGAAAGAGGAAAAAACACCACCACACTAGCAGGTTATTAACAGGAACTCAAATACGTAACCACATTACTGTACTGTGACTGTACAGTATAATTAGTATTATATTAGAATGAATAAGAATATAAGAATGAATCTTTTGGGGGCTAGTCCCAACACAGAGGAAGAAACCTTCCCCACCCACCAACAAAACTAGCTAGTGTAACATTAAAAACAGCTTTTTGGTTCAACTCTGGTGGCAAATTACAATATTTGATCAAATAAAACAAGCAAAACTACATCTCA